AAAACATTTTATTTAGGCCTATCTATGGCCTTCAAAAAGTATACGACTCTACATGTTTCGACGTCACAACGTCATCCTTGAAGGCCATAGATAGGCCTAAATAAAATGTTTTTAATTGTGTACCAGTTTTAACGTTGAATATTATTTATGATTTTACATTATTAATTTTTGTAATAGAAAAAATAATCGTGAAAAACAAATTGTGAATATGTAACTGCAATCTAACATAAAATAAGTTGTTGAAGAATGGTTAATATTTAACACTGATAGGAAAATATTAAATTTAAAGCAAACTACAAGAATATTAAAAATATATAAACTTTGCACCAAAATTTATTATTAATATTTTGTTATACATAAACATGTTATTAACAGATACAAAAAAAAAAGGCAATGGAATTTTACATACTTCAATTTCTTTCTCTGTTACTACACCTTCATCAACAAGCTTCTTCGTGTATTGGTCAAGGACAGGAATCTGTTTACGGATCTTGGTATACATCAGTGGTTGAGTGAACATTGGTTCATCAATCTCGTTATGTCCATTCCGTCGATAGCAGACCTGCAAAAAATGTGGGAAGTAATAACATTGTTTTCATTCCACTCACAGCAGATATGAGGGAGAAATGAAAATTATTAACAACAATCTCATAATATTCATTCCACTGGTAGTAGACATGTATGGAAAAAGGAAAACATGTAATAGTAACAGAGTCATTACAATCACTTTGTTGTAGCAGACCTGTAGAAAGATATGTAAAGTATCATAATCAACTTCACTGTGTCCATTCCATCTGCAGTAAATCCAAGGGAAAACATATGCAGTAAAAAAATTATAATGTCTTTGTAATCATTATGTTAATAGCAAATTAGTCCAAAGAGAATAATGTACAATGAAATATTCATCTCATTCTCACCAATCAGATATTATCAGAAGTGGAAAGAAAAATGTGAAGTATGAATATCAATTTTGAATCGACCATTCTGTTTAACCCCATCACGACAGGAACCTGCATTTTACAGAATCTTGTAACTACCGTGTAATCATGGTATACATACTATAACTCTGAAATTACTTACTGAATCTTCATGAAATTTGGCAAGATTTCAGTAAACTTTAAAAGTCTTTGGTAAACAAAAAATCATAATTTCTATTTAAGTATTTTTACTAAAACTTTCTGTTTAATTATATGGTGCGAGAGTGTTGACTGTTCCGAGTCCAAAGTGAATTTCATATTAAGGTTAAGAATACTTTTCTTCATCTGAAAATTTTCGAACTGTGTTTGCATAATCCCTAAAATCTCCTAAATAAATAACAAATGTTTTTTTCTCTATCCTAACTCTATAGGAGGTTGGTCAATTTGACCAATCTTGTAACCACCCAAAAAAATTCGATTTAAATCTAAATTACCCCTTTCTTTCTTTCTAGAAAAACTTCAAATTATAACATGAAACTTGTCTGTTTATCTTAAATAGCTTAATTATAGAAACAGTATACATCTGTTTTTACCCAAATTTTATATTTTTACTGCCACTTGAACAGTGTCTAAACTAATATTCCCACCATAGAACTTGAAATTAGTTGGTGACTGTGTAGCTCACATTACTCTATCATATTACATAACACATGAGCTACTCAAAAGATGCTCGCAAGTGTATTTTGTTTGCTTATCCTAAATAGCTTAAATATCATAACAGTATACATATGTTTATACTCAAATTTTATCTTTTTTTGCCATTTCAACTGTGTCTAAACTAATATTCCTGGCATAAAACTTTAAATTACTTTTCGAATACGCAGCTCACGTTACCCTATCAAATTACATAACACATGTGCTACTCACAAGATGCTTGCGAGTGTACCTCATGTGTACCTCCAGGTAAGTACTTTATTTCTTGTTTTTCATGTGTCTTCTTTATTTATTATTATAAAAGTAAATAAAATGTAAAAATAGCAAACTCTTTAGGTTAGCTTAGGTAAACTAAATAATAATATAATAAAAATAATTGAGTTCATGGTCGGCTCGCGGGCAGGATAAAACCACCTCGTGGGCCGTACATTGCACTTGCCTGATGTTTAATCTTAGCACAGAAAGTGCATTGAACAGGAATCCTGTGATAAAAATTTCACATAATTTTCAGAAAAGAACAAAAATATAATATTTTTTACCCTAAAATTCTAATAAAGCTCAAACTCAGTATGACTATTTCAGTGTGATTGAATGTCTAGTTTTGAAACTTATTTTTTTATTAAATTGAAATATTCATAACTAAATTCAAGATCAAAGGCTTTTATTTACTTCTACTTCTAAAGTCATAAATGTGTCCTTAGAAATATTGAGGTACAATGTAATGCTTAAGAACCTCTACAAGTCAATGGAAGGAAAATAAAAGCACAGTATTTTGGGAAGACAGGTCTCCCTTTTTAAAATTCAAATCATCACAAATAAAATCTAACTTTATTAAACTCTTCCTCACCAAATCAACTACAACATCTTTGCCATATTTTGCCCTCCATTCAGCTGCAACATTACAAACATGTACCACAGCCTCAGGATCATCAGAATTAACGTGAAAGATAGGTGCATTTACTACTCTGGCTACATCAGTACAGTATGGGGAAGAACGAGCCACTCTGGGGTCAGTGGTGAAACCAACCTATGAAAAAAAAATTTTTCTGAGTTAGATACTTTAATCATTTTATCATCTAACAGTTTAAGATACAATGCATTAAGATATTTATAGAATAATAAATTAACCAAAACAAAACTAAAATAAGTGCTAAAATTTGTTTAATAAAGCCCACTAAAAATATTATTTTGTTTTACATTTCTTTCTTGTCCAGAAATTAAAAAAAAAGTTAAGCATCCTAAAAATGATTGATATTTCTTCATGTATGTATGGTAAATATTTTTGTGGGTTTCAGGTGGTCTATGAATATCTTCCATACAAAGAGTATTCAAATATATGTTTACAAAAGTTTTGAACAGATACAAACGGAATATGTTAACTAAATACTAAATACAACTGTCAAATTTCTGTATTCTAATCTATTTCTAAAATTAAAACATAGCTACAAATAAAAAGATTACATCGCCTTTCACCCATGACCCGTCTCAAAAGGGTTAAGTAACAATGTCACTCATTAGTAGTAGTCATATAGATTGCTGTGATTTGAATCATGTAAACATTGGTCAACTGTAATCCAGTACTGATGATTACATGTGCCTAACGGTCAACATTTTCTTAATTAATTTTAAAATCTATTCTTACTGTAAAGCTGTTAATTGCTCTTCATTGATTTACTCACAGGGATTCTCAATTATTGTTATATTAACTTGAGAGTGGATTTATGTTTAAGAAAACATTAACTTTCAAATACACATATATTTATCATTATTCATAATGAGGAATTATGTGAGAATTTTGTACAAGAAAGCTAAAACAAATAAAAATGAAATGCGTTATGTAGGTAAAGAGTATAGAACCTCGACAAGTTGATTTTTTGTATCTGTTTGACACGGTTTGTTGTTCAAAATTTTATTGAACTACTATTTCATGAACTTATGTCAATAACTTTAATATCAAACTGTAGATTATAATTCAAATTTTAGTACTATACATTACTCAATTTCTTTATTTAAATGTAAGTATTAAAAAACACAGATAAACATCAATTTTTGTGTGTCATGTGGTATGTTGAATGCAGAACTGGTTCAAATTAGTGAAGTCAAAATAGTAAGTCTATAGTTTTGTACAAATTAGAAACTCAAATTACCGATATTGACAAGCTAGAATGTAAAATAAGAACGTGTTATATTTTCTATTTGCTAAAATATTGCTCATGTAATAAACCAAACACAGTGGTACCCCGCCCACCTCTTACCATTTTGGAAATGCTCCCTTATATACACTTCAGTATATGACATGAATAACCAATCAGAAGCTCAGGATGTCCCCCTAGTGGCGTTCTCAGCTATTTTAACGAACTTGGATGCCATTTCTTTTTTTTGAACCAATATTTCAATGAGGTAAAGTGTGTGTCTTTAGTCGGCTTAATATTTTTTTTTTTACTGGGACCGATCTCGTGCTGAAAGAATGAAATACTAAAACATATTCCTACTACAAAGCTGTTTATTACTCTTCACTAATATAACAATACTTACCATTCCACTTTTATAGATAATTTTGTAAATCTGCACTCACAATTTCTCCACACATGCTTATAACATTTTCACTGACTTTTAACAAATGTGAATAGCTACTCTATTGTCCTGATTCAAAATCACCCTAAATGCTAGGAAATAAAGGTAAATGTTTTATTTTTTAGCAAGGTTTAAAGCTTTGAGAGCATTGGATTATTATGACTGGTTTTATTTAAATACCCCAAAGCTAACTGTTTGCTATTCCATATTTACAACTGTTTAAGCACAAAGCTACATAATGGGCTACCTGCAACGTGTCCATTGCATGGATCAAACTCTACAATTTTAGTATTATAGGCCCTCAAGCTTACTGTTGAGCCACTGAAGCAGCCAAAGTTTATGTAAAGAGAAAAACATTTATTACATTACTTCAAAATATCTTCTAAGGCTACAGTTTTTTTCCTGAAATTTCTCTTCTTGACATGGAATGTTAAAAGCTTATACCAGTCACTCAACTTCTGTGACAAAATACAATAAAATAAATGAAACGTTTACGATTGTTTTGCTTGTACCTGGTTATTGACAACAATGTGAATAGTTCCGTGCGTAGAATAGTCTGGCAGGTCACTCAAGTGGAATGTTTCGTACACAATTCCCTGGCCAGCAAAAGCAGCATCTCCATGAAGAAGAATGCTCATCACCTACAAATATAAATGTATGAATAAAATCTTCACCATCTGTGATAAAACATTTCCAAAACTCTAAACCATACAGTAATTTCTAACATAAAAAAGTTTTGTTTCCCTAAAATAAATAACCTAGGTTACTACAACTACTAGATTATACATTTCATACAGATATATGAAAGTTCATTTTTCCCTTACTAGTGATGATGTGACGAATTCAGTTCTCAGGTGAATATTATATCACGTCTTGCATCACTCAAGGCATAACATCAAGACTCACTGAAGAAGAATACTCAACTATTCGAAAACGTTCGAATTTTGGGTCTTATTTTAAGTTTAAGACTCAGTGTAGTGAGTCGCGTGGCCAAGGAAAAAGTAAGCACACGCGCCTCAAAATTGTGTACAAAATCGGTCTCTCTAAAACTCACCCATTGTAACAGCTACACTTTAGGTATTCGAGACTATATACCATCAACACATTAGTAGTTAGCACATGAAAAAAAAAATTAACAAATTTTTGGAACCATTGCCGAAATACAGCCTAGTCGATTCTAACCATATTGTTAGTTTTTTTCCTTCATTTTTGCACACCCAATTTGTTTTTATAGTGTGTGTAGGTTTAATTTTCACACCTCAGCCATCATCTTAATCTCTGTCCTATTGCTTTGAAATTATTATCATTATTTCCTTCATGTTCACTCTACTAGCATTAGTGTTTGGGGCTAAAAATAATAAGTTTTGTGTCCTACAGGGCTGGTTTTATCTAAAACTAAATCTAGATCTTAAATTTCCTTTAAAGGATAAACAATACCATTACTTTTGTTTTTGTACAAAATTTCGTGGAATTCTGATGAGTAGTTTTCTTGTAAAATTTTAAATCACCTGTGCCAATGGGTAGAATTTAGACTGGCTTCCTGTGAAAATACGCAAGATTCATGGATTTTAATTGTTTGTTGATAACCATTACTTCTTTGTCCAAGTTAATACATTTGTTTATAAGTTTAATTCGTAAGTTTATTTTTTATACACACACACATAAGTCTATACAGTTGTGTGCACTATAGCCCATACTAGCTGTAAAACCATAAGATTTGCTTGTGTTCAAGTATTATTTGCTATTCACTATGCGAGGGATATGTGTTTACTGTCCACAGTTTATTCACATGTACCTATTAATACATAAGCTTTGCAAGTGGTTTTGGCTAACTGGCAGGCTTTGGCCAGAACTGTCCACGTTTTGACTGTTATTCACTTTTGAATTGTAACATTAACTTGCTATGTGTGCATAGTGCAAACACTTTCTTCTTGGCCACACTTTTTTTTTTTACATCCATGTTTCTGATTTAGATTCTATTCATGTTTTGATCACTAGTGAACTTTATAGTTACATACTAACTGAAAGAAGATGTAAGTGAAGTCCCCCCAGTGGGTCAGCAGTAAGTTTATGGACAACACTACAATCAGAGTTCAGTTGATCATGGTGGACAGAGCATAGATCGCCTACTGTACTTATACAAAAGAGAGAGAGAGTGCATGACGTCCCATTCATGACAGTACAACATTCTACATAAATACGGTTACTCTATTTTGTTCCATTAGAAACAAACAGATTGGGAAACTGATGAAAGCGGAAAAAGAATGATGGCTAGTGTGAAGACTATTTTAATTTTTCTTGCATATTTCACATTTTACTAAAGAAAAAATTGATTTAAAATGAGGATTAACATTCCCAAAAAACAAGGAGTATGGGTTCATCAGTTGAAGCTTTGTACTATAAATAATTGTATGTTTAAAATTAAATAATTCTACTTACACTCACTTCTTAATTAACAAACATCTACACATTTCCAGCTTACTTTTTCTTTCAAGTTTGTTTCAAGAAAAAAAAATTACAATTCAAGTAATGTGATATTTTTAGCTATAAACTAAAAACTACTTAATGTTTCCATAAATCTGCTAAATCATTAACAAAGACAGGATCAGCAAGACTTCAACAACCTTTTTGCCCTGCACATCTCCTCTGTAGAATTGCTCAGCTCGAGTCTTCCCTTGTACAACGGGATCAACAGCTGCGGGAAAGATGGTGGAAATTTAAAAACATCTAATCTATCCTTGTAAAAAAAAAAGTCAAATACCTTAAGATTAAACTAATACTTATAATAATCTGCATTTTTTCACATTACACTATTTATTTTCACAACAGTAAACAAGTTTCATCATACTCAAGTCTGAATATATTAAAATTTTACCATGATTTTACTTTTTGAAGCAATATACTATTAGGGACTGTATTTTCCTTTAAAAGGTTAAAGTTAAAAGAATAAAACCTTTTGAAAGCCAAATAAGGAATATACTGTTAAAAACATTCCAAACAGTATGTTGCCATGTTAGCAGTAACACTACAAAACAAACATTACACATCACCATTTAGTACTATTAGTATTCTAAAAATAATATTTCTTTATTAAATGTCATCAATCGCTTCTTATCTCTCAAGTTACAAACCAGATATTACAAAAAATGTTCTCTTGTTTACGTAGAACGTTTTAAAATATATATTCTACATATAACGAATTGGACACAAAAACAATCTTTTTCTTGTTTGATAATCAACTAAACTTGAATTTGGAAAATCTAAAAGTAATGTCTGTCTTCCTTTGGACAGGAATCTAGCTAGTGAGTTTCTTCGAGACAAGCAATGTCCTGTTCTGCAAAGTAATCCAAAAGTACAAGTTTAATTTAAACAAACATTAAAATATCAATCATTTAATCATGGTGTTTTGTTAAATTTAAGCAAGAGCCAGAATTAAAGGTTTGTATGTTTGTAACTTGACCAAGTCTGGCAACAACAAAAAAAAAAAGCTATATCTATGTTATCACTCAACAAGTTTAGCATAAGTTTTACATCTGTTAAATCCTGGTATCTATACAAGTAGAAACCAATAGCTGTTATTTTACAAGACTTACTAAATATAAACTTAAGAAGTTAAATTTCAAATACCAAACTTTATGAACTTGCACACACAATGGCAACAGAAAGTACCCAACATCCATGTTTCTGCTACAGAGATAACATGGCCAGAAAGTATAATGAAATTTCTCAGAAAAAAAAAATGTAGCAGATTGTGATTGTACAAAATACTTGCATGTCTACAGAATATGTTTTTGCCCAGTATCACTATAGCACAATTTTAAGAATCTCCACCAAAAACTAGAAGACACAAAAATTGAAACAAACCTTCCAAATGTGATGGGTTAGCAACAACAGCTAGCTTGATGTTCTTATTGGTCATTCGATTAAGACGTTCATGTGACATCCCGAGATGGTACTTTACATCACCTGAACCCTATAGCAAGAAATAATACAAAACATTTCAAAGACACTCAGATAAATTTTTCAGTTTCTGACACTAACTAAACCCTCATTTTTTTTGCTTTTCCTTCACATTAACGTTATTACCTTTCTATGAAAATGTTACTGAAAGAGATTTTTCTTAAAATTAAAAGATTTCAAAAAATCAAATAAAAGTGTATAATCTCATAACTACAAAAACCAAGAAACATTACCTCAATTTTAGCATCATTATACTAAATAACACATTTTTTATTAATTGTAATTTTTTTCATACATGTTGATAAACGTTTTTAAACATTTTTCCTGTAATCTTTTTAAGCAGCATCACTTTAGTAAGATCATTTATATATCTAAAACAACGTTTCAAAATGCCATATATATATATAAAACCTGTTAAATTTTCATTATTAAAAACTCAGATGTTTGAGTACAGTATTCGAGTTATCACAGTAAGTAATGCTTACATTTGTAACAGAATAGCCAGTGACTTGTAACACAATCACCAGCTTCTTGTACTTGTAACATAATACTTAGTATCTGCTGTTATGACTGAAATTAATATTCATAATAAAAACAGCATTTTTTTATAGAAATATACATCTAAAGTGACTCGCTGGTAGACGGCCATCCTATAACACGTTATAGTAATAGTATCTTATTCTTCCAGATGTATGTTATTATTATTTGCTGTTTTTTAATTGAAATCAAGTGTCAACAAATCAAAATTAATTTTTTGTTAAATGTTTTTTATTCATGTTTATGTTAACTATATGTTCTTACATATAATAAAACACATTAGTCAACAGTTTTATACATGGGTTAAATTCCATTGGTCTTGATTAGAACTCAGAATCTGTGCTTTTTCAAGTTACAAATAGAGTACCATTTATCATTTGGAAACCAGTATTGTTGTTTTACCCAAATTTGAAAATGCATGAAGAAGTACCTCAATTTGCAGAAAACTTGATACCCCATACACTGTGAAACTAATTCCTGAAATACTTTAAGGTGAATTTCCCTACTAGTTTTATACACTGCCTATCTTTGGGGTAGTTTTATACACAGCCTATCTTTGGGGTAGTTTTATACACAGCCTATCTTTGGGGTAGTTTTATACACAGCCTATCTTTGGGGTAGTTTTATACACAGCCTATCTTTGGGGTAGTTTTATACACAGCCTATCTTTGGGGTAGTTTTATACACAGCCTATCTTGGGGTAGTTTTATACACAGCCTATCTTGGGACAGTTTTATACACAGCCTATCTTGGGACAGTTTTATACACAGCCTATCTTGGGACAGTTTTATACACGCCTATCTTGGGTAGTTTTATACACAGCCTATCTTGGGACAGTTTTATACACTGCCTATCTTGGGACAGTTTTATACACTGCCTATCTTGGGACAGTTTTATACACTGCCTATCTTGGGACAGTTTTATACACTGCCTATCTTGGGACAGTTTTATACACTTTGTCTATAACAAGATAGTCATATATTTTTCACCTGTCTTCATGGCAAGATGAAGAATTACTATGCAATTATACAAAACTTGTGAAATACTTCAATGTATTTCATGTATGCTTTACTCAAAACATAATCAAGATAACAAAGTAAGAAGAAGGACCATCCTTCCCACCAAACTTAGTTTACGAGTTAGTTAGTGATGTGACAACGTAAGCTAGGTTGTACCTATGCTTTTGAGTTAATATATTATGAATACAAATTGGGTGAAAGTAAACAATGTATAATGATATGTCAAACATGCTATACCTGCTATATCCAGTGTCAACAACAAATATAGTAATGGTTGAAATGTTATTTATATTATCAAAATGCTTGAAGGCAATTTTTATGGTATTTAGTTGGTGAAGTGTACTTTATATCACTTTTATTCACGTCACAACATATAATTCTACTTATGATTTTTTTTTTATTAAATGCAGAAGAGATTTATGCATCAAGACAGATCACAAAGTTAAAACCTAAAAAGTTTAAATACTAAAGAAATCTAACTACCTCACCTCATCTGCTGGTTCTAGTCCACTAAACTGGGTTAAAATCTGTTCCAGAGGCTTCCTGCACACGTTAGCCAGGACATTTAATCGCCCTCTATACTCAAGGAAGTTTAAATCAAAAATAAAATTATAAACAGTCTTCATAAAACTATGCAAGTTTTCATAAATTAGACTTAGAAATCCAGAATTTATAATGTTCTCATAAGCATCAAAATAAACATATTTTAAGTTAATCTTTATCATGATCTTAAGTTTTCTTATACTCAAATATAAAATCATTAACTGTTTATCACATTAGGATTGCTGCTGGAGAGTAAGTTTTTGCAAAAACCATTTCCAGAAAAAATATAAATAAAAGTAGAAAATATTATTCTAATGGATCAGTCCTTTTGTCAACGTTCAAGTTACCCACAGTGAAACCTCAATAGTTTGAACATCAACAATCCGGATGATTTTTCACATTGACGAATCTTCACTACAGGAAATTTCCAAAACCAAACAGTTATGTCTAATAACAAACATACATTTTCTAAGGATGCATTGATTCAGTAATCCATAGATGATTGCATAAGAGTCAATGAGAACAAGAAGAAAGGTAATAATTACTGAACACAAAATACCTGCATTTGTAGTAGGTTTCAGTTTATAACAATTTTTCTGAGTAAGGATTTATATTGAGGGTTATATAAGTGATTTACGCCACAGTAATGTCAAGTCACAGTGCTCCATAATGTGTTATTTGTTTAAGTCTGCTGAGAAGGATCAAAATAAATATTTCAGTTCAAAAGCAGAGAGTGATTATATCCTTTCTGGAAAGTGACCTGATCTATATTTGATCAAACTACATATTTTATATTCTATAAATTAAGTCACTAGTTTGAACAAAATGATGACTTACAGGAAGATAATTATATATGCCACTTTGATTATAGCAATTTTTATAATTATGGATGACATATGAAATAATTAACTTATTGTATGCCCATCACTTTATATTTATCAATCAATAACACATGCCTGTTAATAGTGTTCATTGTATTCAGAATGACTGATCTGACCATCCGGATGTCTGTAATCAAGAATAAATACTTCATGCAAATGCATTCAAATTAACAAGATTTCACTGTATTCAGTTAAATAACTCTTTGAATAATAAAACTGATGACTTTCATTATCCAAGGCCTATCTTTCTTTATGTGAAAAACATACCAAAACAAGGAACAATCTTTAGTGCTTTGAAAGTTTATCATGTATACATATCTAGAAATATGACATAAAGAATAATGGTTTTATTTGAAACAACTCAGGGGATGCGTCTACAGTAATGTACATTTTTTTACATTAAAATTTCAAAAACACTAATCATAGTCAGAAAAACTAACCTGTGAGGCATCCCCATCACAATGCTTTCGATGCCAAGTTCACTAGAGCGATCAATGATTGTCTTCATGGCTGGAATCAAAACTTCACATCCTTCCAGTCCAAACCTCTTCTCAGAAGACCACTTTTTGGCTAAAAACTCCTCAATTCTGTATTATCAATAATTATACACTATGAGAAAACTTTTCTCTTACAACAAATTGTGTCCAAAAATATCTTAATAGAAAATGCATTCTATCATAAATCTGAAGTTAAAAGTTTACTAAAATAAAATACTTGTATCAGCTAAGGGAATCTGGTTTATGGAATGCAACCATAAGGACGTTTTTGAAACTGATGACATTTAAAACACATGTTGAGGATTTTTCTCTTAGTCACAACAGAGGATTTTTCTCTTAGTCTGTTGTGACAGTAGTCCAAAAAGCTGTGCTAAAATCAACCATGCAGTTGCTATAAATAAACAATGTTACTGTATTTACTTTACATCCTACATAATCCTTAAAAAAATTTACATGAGCTACAAACCAGAACATTCAAAAACACAAAAATGTTCCAAGACTATGTTTATCTAGTTCACTTTGTGCCATGTGCAGCCAGTTCACTTTATATCATGTGCATTTTATACACATTCATGTTTTTCAGCATGACAAAAAAGGTATTTTAATGTAAAGAATAAAGATAACTATATCATTCAGATATATTTGCAGGGGAAAATGACAACCATAATTCACCATCACATTTTTTTATGTTTTCTAACACAATTTCCTTCAATTTCCAGATAAAACACTCTTCCTGTTCCAACACCTGGTGGAGAAAGTAGTTTTAAAGGTACTTAAATCTAATTGTGTTACCACATAAATAAGCCTAATTGTGCTTGAAAATTTACATAAAATTTATATACGTTTAAGGAAAACCAACACTGTAATACACATGGTTAACTTTCCAAAATAAATCTAGGATCCTAGAAAATCCATTGCTCAACTATTATTTCATAGAAAAGTAAGTAAAAAAAAAGGGTCTACGAGTCTTCTTTACTCAGGACTGATTAGAATTCAGAGGAGCATCACAATGCTATAAACAAAAATCAAGTATATTATTGCAGCCTTTGTTCTTTAAGTTGATTCAACCATCTCCTAAGAATATTGTTGGCATAGATGAAGTCACACTTAATAACAAAATGATATTTATATACTACTGAAGATGTGTGTCTGGAGTGAAAGCTAGTGCTGCTATGCAGCTACAGAGTTTGAGTGATATGAGTAAAACTTATTGAATACCAGATGTACTTCCACAGGGTTCCCAAAAGTGTTCCGTTTCAAGCGTAAATAAAACCAAAATTAATAGTGACAAATATTTTTATTTTTTGCTTTTGAAGTTCATATGTCATGTTGTGTGGTAGCCTACAGAGCACATGATTCTTCTCGATTCATGGCATGCACACATTTTACCAATGTCAGAACAGTACAAATTGCAATGTTGAGCTTTCCATACGTGATGTCATTTTAGTGTCTACTGACTGCCTAATAGACAATACACCACTGTATAGTGGCACGTGTGTTTAAAACAGGTGTCCCTTCCAGGCAGCCTTTGGCCCCCTTTTGGAGAAATAATTGTGACTTAATCACTTTATACAGAAGTGGATTTTACCATTTTCAAAAGCCATACACTCTATCATAGTTATATTTGCCATCCAAACATAAAAAGAAAGTACTAAAAATCAACCAATATTGTGTATTTCCATCATTCACTTGATTATTGGCTCAACTTTTTTAAACATATTTCTAAGTTCAAATAATTTATTTAATAATAATTAATAATAATTTATTTGCAAAGTTCAAATAATATTTATTTATACTTTAAAACTTTAAATGCTTCCAAATAAAGTAATCATAAACAATAAATTAATTATAAAATCACTAATATTTTAAGGAAAAACCTCACTTTGTGGATCGAACAAGTCTAGCCATCAGGAGTCTCTTTTGATCCTTAGTTAGATTCATGATCTGTGGAGTTTCAAATTTTTGTCTAATCCAGTTGCACTGCTCCAAGTTATTAATGAACATATACTCTACACCAATGTGCTGACAGTACACATCCTGTGGATGAAAAAATCAAACAGCTTTTTTAAAAGCTATAAACCATAATTAAAAACTTTTAATCACAAACTACAAGAGCAACCACAATATTGGATACCTTAGCAATAAAGCTGATAATCTTTAAAAATCATTCATATAAATACAATGTAAGAAACTAAAATATTTAAAACCTTGGTAACTAGTAAGATCATACAGTTTGGCATTTAAACTACATGGAAGCTGGTAATATTTATAGTGTGTATACAAATATAAAACTTTGCAACTAAACTAAGTGATTATATATCATTTGTAAGAACAGAAATAACAAGATTGTATTGAATAAACTGATAGCAATCCAATAAAACTTTCAAACTACTACAAATACAAAAATAAAGAAGAAAAGATTACACTGTTTAAGGAGAAAGAAACATAAGTAAATAACATGTATATCAAACTGTGGCAGTTTATTTTAACCACATCTTTGTGTATTTTTTTTGTGGGAGGTGTTTAATGGAATATACTATTTTAGATATTTGTGGAAAAGAATAACTACATTTTAATACCTGTCTATTGACTTGCATCTCTGCCAAGATATATCATAAATAAAAATTGAGTACAAATAATGCAAAATTAAATGTTCTGTAATACTGGTAATAAAGACTTTTCTTTTGTGTTCTACATTATATATTTTCAAACATCACCTTTATGAATTGAGAAGTTATGAAATGAGTGATAATTTTCATTTTATTACAGGAAATCAGCCATCACAAGTTTAAACAAAAAATAATGTAAGCAACAATTAAATACCACATAGGTGAAGTTATGTTAAGAAAACCCAATTATCAAATCATAGGTCAAGCTAACAAGTTACTTAGATCTCATAATAAAAGCTACAAATGAAGTTTACAAAACTGTTTGGACAAATTTCTTCAGTTGTTACCTCAAGCCGATGAAGTATCTCTCTGAGAGGTAAAACATCATCAGGTCCTCCAATAAATGTTGTAGGTGGCAGTTTGAAAAGTCGATCCATGTCTTTATCCTCTGCAATCACACAAAACTAATCATGCAAGTTATTTTCTACAGATCCTAATGTGCTTGGCAAGTTTTGGTTTATCAACTTTCAAAATTACTGTAATTCAAAATTTATACAAAACACTGATATGAAGCAAAAAAGATAGTGATAATAATCTTAGTTAAATTTTATTTCCTACCAGCTAATAACAATACTTTGTATATACCTTTTTTTTTTATCTAATGTTCTCATTTTAAAATGCTGACTGGCCTAATCCTGAAGAAATAATTCTTTTGGTGAAGTAACTAAGAAACCAATATTTCTTCTACTGTTGCTCAATTCAACATATATTTTGATTAAATAAAATAGATCTGTCTATTCCTGTATATTACACTTCATAAGTGAGACTATTTTACTAAAAAAAAATGTATCTTAAACTGACTACGAATTCATTTCAGTAACAATCAAACAGACACTCCTTCAAAAAAAAGCATAAACAGCATATTAAAATATAACTTTACAAACAGAAATTTCAACTACAAAAAGTCTTAAAATTTTAATCTAGGTTTCAATGAAGTCAAACTTGTAAATTTATAAACAGTCGTAAAAGGTAACATTCTAATATTTTATTTAGTAAATCACAAAAGGACAGAATAGTCTCAGTTTTTGGTTAACTCTTGATATAACTTTAAGAAAAGTTGCACAATTATATAGCAGCCTCATTCTAAGACCTGATAAGCAATGTGTTTTAGTATCAAAAATAAATGTAATGGAATATGCTGACAGGTAAAACAAAGAAGTAAAAATTTAATTTTTTTAATATGTTTAATGCTGAAATAAAAACTTCTAATCAAAACTAGAACTTCACATTAAAATGTCATAACACCTTCACATATTTTAAAACTACACTGGATTATGATGTAACATGAATAACAAAAGAAAACATCTATCAATCAGAACAATAATTTGTTTGAGGTACAACTTTAAAATCTCACCATTCTGTTAGTTATGGTTAATGAGAGCTTAAACCTATTATTATTTCAATGGTAAAAGAATTGAAACTCAATGTACTTTATTCCAGACTAGCAAATAAACATGGATGACAAGGAAAAGCAAAATAAGCAAACCTCAAGTTTCTCATATCCATGAAATTTACTAGCTGTAGATTGTAACACCAGAAAAATAGCTGTTTAAAGGCAATATATCTTCACGATTGTAAAGCCCAAGTTTTATAACAAAATGTAGCTCACTTGACTGTACACAGGAGGAGGAAATGATTAGATTTTAGTTTTTATATACATGCATCTGTGACTTGCTTTGTAAACCCTTACCCAGATTATGGAGCTTAAGTAGGTATCCATCAAGGTGGTAGCGATCACTGTTAGTAATATTAATGCCCAATGGGTCAAGGATAGCAAAGAAATGCCCACGAATCTGGAGACAAGAGACAAAGAGGATGATGTGTCTAAGGTTAATTAGAAAATAATGATTAGAAAAGGAATAAAGCCAAAATAGTTATTATACACAAAAAACAAGATCAACAAATCAACCAACCAAGTTTTTTAACATGCAAACACACACACACACACACATACACGATGTGGTAAAAACCAACAGTTAACTATCCAGCTAAACAGCTTTCTGAAATACGATTCTAGCCTGATGAGAAACTTACCAAGAATTATTTCCTTCTCAGCACTGATTATAAAAAGTGATCCAGAGGAGCTTAATATTTTACTGGTGTTAGACTTAGGCAAGTATCAGTCTTAACTATTTTCTTCTTTCAATAAAAATAAAAGTAAATTTTTCATAGTAGCAAGGATCATTTTCAAAATTATGGTAATCTCAAATATCTGAACTTGATTTTGTAATTTTGTTATCAATTTTCTAGGTTATTATTAATAACAGAGGTTACTTAGGATGATGAGTCGCTGCATTTATAGTCCCCATTATGTAGATAACATTTTAGGAAACTATTCTCTTATTCCATGTCTTATGTCTCACATCTCATAAATCAGATAAATTTATATTAATTAGATTGTTACAGATTTTTCCTGAGATTTAGGTTTACATTGAAATTTTGTCTAGTGATGTTCTCATGCACTGTTCTACATTTGCATGTTTAGTTAAAAAATTTTTAACTACTACTTTTTAGCAAACGAGAGCCAGTTCATATCAGGCAATATAAATATTTTTTGAATAGTTTGCATTACTAAGTTTAGTCAATAGATGTCCTTGGTTTACATCAGTGCTTTTTTGAAAATGAAAAATAGTTCCTGAATATTTATTCCCCCTGATATACTAGGCTATAACAGGAAGCCTGTAAGCCTTGTAAACTAAAATGAGTAAAATACACTTACCTGTAAGTGAACAGAAAGCTAATAAAATATATAAAAAATGTTTGTTGTATTATACTTTCCTCTATTCGCTTTCCTTGCATTATCTTTTGAGATTACTTAGCAGTTCTTGTTCTTGAACAACTAATAGTTTAGAAAAATTTTTCCAATACTGGGGAATTTTATCCGAGTGTAAATATGAAGAAGGATATCTTCTGTAACCTTTAAGTTGAATATCACCATATGTGCAGAATTGTATCTTCTAAATGTCTGTATGTTAGGCATCATTCTTACTGTGATAATAATCAATTTGAGATTCACTTTACTTTTAAAAACATAGTTTTCAAACAACATTTTTATATTAAAAGATGGAGGGACTTGGAAGGAAGGCAGTATTAATCAAGAACAAGGAAGGGATACTTGACATACAAAGGTTCCAGTCTACAGTAAAGTCTGCAAACAAAGGTAAAAAGGATTATTAACAATAAAGACCTTGCATCGCTCCAACCAGTCCATACCCTAGTGAGAATCTTAATTTCTTCACTGTCATGGGCCTATGTATGTTTTCCTCTACATCACTACCATGCGAGTTGGGAATTCTGCACCACCACCATGAAGAAATAGTATTCCCTTAGAACTTCACAAAGTTTACCAGATTAAAATTTCAGATAAGAAATGAAATATCAAAGTACATCTTTTTTTTTATTGTGTATCTAAAAATAAACCTGACAATGTAAGAGTTGTTTATATATAAATATGAGGGTGGAAGTGTCAACTGACCAACCTATTCAAATTTTCCGACTACTTTAAACATTCAAAAGATGAACAAGCTGTGGTATGGCAAAAACAAGCCATTAGTGTTATTCTTGTATCTTCTTTCCCCAGTTTTAGTGCTCTTTCACTCCCTCTCATATTGGCCTTCTCCAAATAAAATGTGACCCCTCCTTCCTACACTACCTTAGTTCCAATGAAGGTTGTGTTTGAATGTAACATTCCTCTTTTCCTTAAAGCAATTTTAAACATTAATCAATGTCTGTGAATAAGCAGAGCCAAAGCTTCATAAAAACCCATACATTTAAATTGAATGAAATAAAAAAGAACTAAAATCTCTCACCAATAGTTATGAAACCAGGTAAAGAATAATGTCTACAAGGCACAACTGAATGGACAATCCTAAAAGAGGCATATGCATGGATTTTTAGAAACTAGAGAGGAAGGACTCTCACCTAATTACCAGGAGCATAAAATAGAAAGGCAGGTAAAGGGATAAAGTTATTCCATCATAAAAGAAAAAAGAACTAGATCTTTCACCCACACACATGCACACTGATAACAGGACTTGATAAAAATTTACATAAGATGGTACATCCTCAAGAACAGAGCTTCAAGGTGAAAAACACACATCAAGCCACAAGGAAGATCAAACCAGCCAATTCACTATCTAATAGAGGTTAGACATGATCTTCGGAAAAGGTAAAAAGATCACTGATGTCTGCTGAACTTAGGACAAACAGCTTATAATTTGAAGATTATAACTGGAGACAGGCACAATTCAAGAAGACGACTGTTAATCCTAGTAAACAGTTCAATAATTTGAACTAAAAGAAAGGTCTTCAGAAGAACCAGTAGCCAAGTCTTTTAAATTACAAAAAAAAGTTAAGTAGAAAAAAATATTTACATAAAAATACTTTGTGAAAAAACTTTCCATTTCAGAAATAGAAGAAGTAAAACTGGCAAGTAAAATTTTAGCATAAAGCAAAAAAAAATATTCAGAGTTTAAAAAAAACATAGCCCCTCACTGACATTAAGCAGGAAATCACAAACTAGTAAAAAAGATATGATTAACCACCTGAAAATCTAGAATGTCCACAGGTAGGAACAACACATAAACTGAGACTTTAATGTCCAGAAGATAAACCAGCACAAGATCTATCCCTACCTCAGTTCTGCATCCATCAAGAAACCAATTTGTGTAGTTTAAAAGCAAATAACAAGGACTTCCCAAAGATATAACACAAATAAAAGTTTATTCACAAGGTAAATACAAATAAATTCTAGCTGATTTTAATGTAAATCTTTCACAGGATCAAAACCTACCACTCCAAACTTTCAACTTTAGAAAAAGAATAGAGCTCAAGAATACAATCAAGATGAGAAACACAGAAACAAGGTTTTAAAATCTATCATGGTGTCTATAAAAAAAAAGGCCTACAAAAAATCTCTCTTCTTGACAGAATTATGAAGGGAAAAATGCTTATGTAAAAATATTGATGGTTGTTTAAGAGGCTTCACAACTCTCTTTATGTAAATACGAAATGGATAATTTGTTATTATTTGTTACAAACTCCGACTTGCATTCAAAAAAAAGGTGTTTAACATTTCTTGAGAGTAAATGAAGTCCCTAAATCATTTGAAGATTTAAAGTTAAAAAAGCCAACCAGCTGACTTACAGTGCAATAGTTTTCACTTGAGTTAGAAACAAAGAGCAATGAGCATTTGCAATAAATAGCAAGTGTCATATCATTATTAATTTTACACAAAACAGTTTTAGCTCCAAGTGATTATGTTTCCATAATAAGTGTAGAATCTTGCTGCCTGTAATCTCCAAAATACTGAAGTTCAATGAACTCTAACTGACATTAGTGTTAGGCTAAGAAACTTATTTGAATTTTTGTAATCTTTACAATGAACTTAGATTAAATTTTTAAATGTGACTATGATTTGTATGGCGGTATGAAAATAACTCAGTGAAGACTTGTATAACAGTGTTAAAATTTTTCTTGAGGTTTAATTTTTTCATTATGTCTAAACATAAGGAATGTAAGTTTCTGGACAGCATACAACTTTTTTGCTTCATTATTTGTCATAAAAATGTCATCTGACATCTACATTATTTCATGTCAAGTACTTAAAAAAAATGTTTTTTTGATAAATCTTAGAATAGATTAGCTTCATATGCCACAAAATAAACCAACTGTTTTGGAATATATTAAATGTATAAAAACATAAGCACCTGAAAGTACACCTAATTTTCATAAAAACTAAGACTTTTCTGTCCAATATTTTTTACTCAAAAAGAGCAATTCACAAAAAACTGATACATAGTTATTTTATAACAATAAAAAAAACATCCTGATAGTTTTATTATCCAATTCAATTGTACAATGTAAAATTTAAAGTACAGTGAACATGTGTATGCCTACCTAACTTATAGCTGCGCACGACAACAGAAAGTGAGCCTGATGATTCTTTTGCAAACGGTGTATATTTGTTAGCGGCAGTAATCGATAATGGATCCAACTTGGCCACCAGGTGACCTCTAACCTAAGAATAAAATTTATAACAAGCAAAAAAAAAAACCTAAACATTAACAAAAACAAATAGATAAAAATATTCAAATAAACTTCACAAAGCAAAGGATATTGAAAAATAAATTGAGGAAAAAAATTAGTAATTGATAAAATGAAACTGAGGTAACTTAATAACCAGGTAATAATTAGATGTAGAATAAAATCATACAAGAAAAAAAACATACTATCTCAAAAGTATTATCTCCTGAATGTTTGTACTGACCATAACATATAATAAATAATTAAAAAAATATTACAATTACTACACAGGATGTCAGACTAGCAGAATAATACTTATACTATCTCTGCTTTCACTTCTAGTGTTTGGGCTAAATTTGGCAAATACAAAGCCATTAAGCAGGCAGATTTATTGAGAAAACATTCACTAAGTTATTTGAAAGAAGAGTTGATACAAATCACAAAATATTAAAAAGAATCTAAATATTTGAATCACACACTCAGAGGTCATTTGTTCAGACAAAACCTAGAAACATTACACAACCACTTAATTCCCAATATGTGCACATGTATATATATATATATGATAATCACCAGATTGTCATTCAGTGATATCTATTTGAATTGTATAGCCTTTGTACTAATGTTATAAAACAAATATAAAGTATGTGTACAACAACTAATATTGTGTATCATCAACTTTAAAACATATATATATATTTCATAATAGTTGGAAAATTATTAGTATACATTGTTATATAACAAGTAACATTATATTTACCAATAATTAACCTTTGACTTTCAGACAAGTCTTTATATTATCTACGAAAAACTTTTTTTTATGCATTTTAATCAACAATTACCCACCATAATCTTGTGTATTTTTTATTAAGCAATTCCACATGAGAGAGAGAAAAAAAATGCTTACTTTAGGACTTAATGCTAAAATCATAATGTGAGTGGTTTTTAGGTGTAAAAAAAAAAAGGCTGGAAAATTTAAATCTAACAAGAAAAATTTAATATTTGAGTCTGCATATTAAGCATAACAGCTGATATTAAGAATACTGAAGTCCCAAACTACTAGAAAAATTCTATTCAGTTATTTACAAATGTTTTGATAAACAAAAATAAAAACAAATTTATGAAATCAGGTACCTGAATAGCTTATCCATCACACAATAAATTCATTCAAGTTGATTTTTAATAGCTCTACAGTACCTTCCAATAGCAGGTAAATAATTCACTTGAATTATATGGTGTAATTCCAATCCATAAGTTTTACAAAATGTTTTGTCACTGATTAGCTAATTCACAGTTATGGAAGTAATTATTAAATCTTCTAACTACACTTCAATATCAACTAGTATGACATACTTATAGGTCCCTCTGATTCTTTATTTTACTGTAATAATTGTAACAGAATTTTAAGAATTGGTAACCGAATTACACATCAGTGATATATTAAAAGAGAATTGGAAGTGAATTTGAAGACAACCTGAATTATATTTAACAGAGTGACAGCACTATGATCAACCCTTTATCATCATTTTATGGAATCTCAATCAAGAATCTCAAAACAAACAAAATGGATAGAGTGAAACTCTCCCTCTCAATGGAAATGGCAACTATCAATGTAATTGTTTGGTTTTGCAAGCTCTTTTAGTGACTTAATCTCGATACACCTACAAAAGTAGGAATAATTCTTTCCTCCACTCCTAATGCTTGTTTTGTGAAATGCCGAATGACAAATTGATGATAAATGAAGTATACTGATGAAGACTAAGAGATGAAACCTCTCTAAATCACAACTCTCTAGTTTCTACTTGATGTAACATGTAGTAGTAAAATTTCTGGCCTTTATAAACAGGAATAAAATTATCCTTACAAAAAGATAACAATCAGTAATGCCTGTGATGGTAAAGAAAAAACAAAATATTACAGGAAGAAACATGTTATATTTACAGAAATGCAGAAAGTAAGAAACAAAAATGGGGAAAAAAATTTTTAAATATTGGAAATAACTGGAGACATTCAGATGGAAAACAAATCAAAATGTAGAAAACAACAACAGAAAAAAAGCAGCCATTGAAAAAGAAATACCAACAACACTAAAAGAAATATCACATTCATTCTGAATGCCTTGATCACAAGGAAAATCAAAACAATGAGCGACTATACATCTTCTAAGATTGCTAAGAAAAAAGCTATAGTTGTTTTTGCCATTGCATCAAACATTACCTTCATTGCAATGCCAAGGGTAATCAGTTACAACTGTTTCTTTCTCTACACCTAAGTATTTGCCCAAGAAAGATGTTGTCATAATAAGAAATACTGGTCAAAAAAAGAAGTACAAAAACAATATCAATAAAAGAAGCAGATGCAATGTTCCTGATGGACAATCCTGAAAGTAAGATCTTCTTTTCAAATTTGTTGCCTTGAGACCACACCAAGTAAAATTGCTATCTGATGCTCTTCATAATTCCTTCTTATGTCATTGAAAGAATGTCTGTTTTCTTTTACAGGCTCTAGGCAAACATATGCAAGTAGAAATAAGTTTTTGTAAATTTATTGCTGTAATTGTGTATGATCAAGAGAAGGAAGACTGTATTGGTTAGCAAATGCAAGACTTGCCCAGGTATAAAGTCTGTCACTCAGCAAAGATTTATTGGTGAAGTGGTGTCTGAGATAATAATGTCAAAAAAAACAAAAGATGAAGACCATCTGTAAAGGATCCCTTAATGAGTGGTACCAAGACTAGTTTCACAGGTTTAATGCTTTATGAAACAAAACAAAAACTGTTAATACAATGCAAGCAAATGCAATCAGAGAGGAAAGAAAAAGTTTGAAGACACATTTTGGTCTACACTACACTACAATGATACAAAATGAAATACAGTATGCATACTGGCCCCAAACCAAGTTACCTTCTTCATTGTTTGTGCTTGAGAGCAAATGGAAACCCATTCCACAGTGAATGGTTCATTTTTATAACATGTGACAAGTATACTGTTAACAAGTTTCTTAAGTTGGTTATACAACATCTGGAATTTACAGTTCATCCTTGGCCAGTTTAAACATGGATCTTCTTCTATCAAGTATTACCCTTCTAGAAAAGAAAATCACATGAAACTTCTTTGCCATCAGCGATGGGAAAGGACTGGTTTATGGTATCAGTTGATAAACAAAGCATTAGGTTTTGTCGTATGTGATATGAGGTAAAGCAGAGGTTGCTATATACCAAACTTCACTTATTGTACTGCCCCAAAGAAGAGATTGAAGAAAAACCCTTGTTGTTATTTCTCATACAGCTCCGATGCACGAAGTCATGACAATTGCTCCCTGTGTAGTTAGTTGATGTCAAAAAACATGCCAAAACCTCGGTAGTTCACCACCATGGCTTCCAGGGATATTTCATGGTCATTAGCAAGTGTCCCAGTACCAATAATACTTACACTTCCCTGGATGGGCCAAATGATGAATCACAATCTGCTGTATGAGATTTAGGCACAAAAATGGTATGCTGTTTATTAGCTGAACAATGAATACTGGTTCACTGTTAGACCACTGGAAGTCAACTAACATGATGACCCAAAAAAAGCAAAGATTCCGGTTCATTAATGCGACTGGCTATGAAATAAATCAGTTCAAGATTATTAGTGTTTTAGATTTAGTTGATATCACAGAAGTTTTCTATCAGTTGGAAAAAAGCACCTAAACCAATGTTATCTTCAAGATCAGTTTTCTCAAACTGAAAGATGTCATATGTCCCAAACTCTGTATGAATACATGTAAACTTGCAGTTTGTTGCTAAACTGCAGTTTCTTATTTCAACTCCATTTTAAACAAACAAATTAATTGTTTGCTGTTGCTAATTTAATTGTTTGTGTCAAATAAAGAATCATTAAGTTCAAAAATGAGATATCTGTTTTGTTTTTCAAATATGGTTTGGAGGATTCAGAAGGTGTAATTCCATTACCAAAAAACATAATTCTGTTACAACATAAAATCATGTATATTACAAATATATAATAAGTTTTTGAGGGAACAAAACTTCCCTTATTACTGCCCATTGATAGTTTAGTATAGTCATACTAATAACGAGTCTCAACTGACCATAATAAAGTTTTCATGGACTAACTTGAAACTCATGTCTCTCAGCTTCTAATTTCATTACCAAAGTTTGTAATCCTAAAGATATACCCTACCCACTCACTAAAAAAACTAATTATCACAGAAGAATTATAAAGAACAGTGTACACAAATAATATGAGGTGTCAGTATATACAATACAAATATTTAATTGAAGGCCTTCAAAGCTGTGAAGGTGCCTCTGATGTGTAATTCTTTTACTGTAGAATTGCCCTATTAAAGCAAAAAGAAAGTCTATTAGTGTGTATTAAAAGTCACAAAACACAGTAGAGAGTGATGCTCTCTCTACTGCCACCTATCATAAAAAACTGAATTTTTGTAATACAGAAAATTATCTTAGTAAGCGTAACTGAATCAAGAGCATGAAATTAACAGATATAAAAAATAATGCAAATTTTTCAAAGCCAGCTGACTTAATTCAAAACTATGCATGTTTACTGAATACACCAAATGAATAGAGTCAAACCAAATTTCATTGACAATTCTATTAAAGTACATTTAAAAACAAATCCTCCCATAAACAGTGATGTCTACTGTTCAATTCTGTCAGTGCCAAAAATAAAATTCATTTAAATTTTTCTTTTATAATTTATTTTTTAAAGTACATAGATTAACTTTAAACCATCATAAGATTGACTACACAAACATTTAAGAAAACATGTGGCCTAATAGATGTGTACAAGACAAAAAATGGAACTAAAATCTCCAGATAATAAACACTGTGAACAACAATATCTTCCTGGAATACTAGAAAGAGGCATTAGTCAGCTGACTAAAAATTAGTATTTGTCAGAAAATAGTTTCAATGCTTTAAAAGAGCTGAAATATAGGGTATAACAAATATTTACTTTCATTTTTACAAAATAACTCCTTATAAAAAATGCTTCTTGATATTAATTATACACTATTACACAAATTATATACTCAAGAAAAAGAAAACACTGAAAAATGTTCCACCTGGTATGATCTAATGATTGCTTGCACTGTAAGATGATCCTCAATATCCTGAGGTGCTACCTGTCGCTTATCTGGTTCAGATGGTGCCAGAGCAGCAGTACTGGTTGGTGGTGCTACTGCTTCTGCTGTCTGTGGTTGTGATAGGGATGGGAGTACAGCATGTTGAGTCAAAGGGTAACTGATCATTACTGTTGGTGGACTCTGGTATGCTTGGCCTGGCTCTGCTCCTGCTGTGGTACTTCGAAAAAATACATCCCACGACTAAAAAATAAATACATGTATTACAATAATTTTAATGTAAAAAAAATATTCAACATTAATAAAACCTGAGTGCAGTATCATAACATTTCTTCTAAAACATTTACTTTATATTTCAGAAAACTGTTTTATCAGATAACATATACAAAAAAAATCCTCAAAAGACCACAACTTAAGCTAAGACAAACATGTAGAGCTGTGTGATTTAATAAACAGCATTTACAGTGAAATAAACTAATCAATTAATCAAAATTAGTGTTTCCAATTATTCCAACAGTCAATTAATCTAAATTACAATCACATCAACTGTCCATTACTGATCATGATTGTTCCAACAAACAATTAATCAAAATTCCAATTGTATCAATTGTTCAGAAAATAATCAACAAATCAAGAGTTATAATTTTTCTACACTGAAAATGTTTTTCCAACAGGTACTTACCTCCTCTCACATAATTAGCTATTTTTGTTCATGCTACCCTTTATATGCAAAAACAATGTTTACACATGCCACAAGCCTTCTGTCTCCCCTCCACAAGAAATGACTCATTCCAATGTGTCTCTGATGCAAATCATCATGTGACAACACTCCACTAATGAGAGTACCATACACTCTCGTTTCACATGTGACTCACTTTAATGAATTCTACCAAATTATTCCTTTGAGTTTTGGCAGAAAATGGAAGCACCGGTTTACAGTGGGAAGAAAGGGTAGGAAGTGTGAGAAGAGGTAAGTACCTATTGGAAATACATTTTCAGTATAGGAAAATTGTAACTTCAGATAAGATACATTACCTCCACTCACATAATTATCTAGAATTCCTCATTGAATAGGGGGAGGGACCAGTGCAAAATAAGAAAAGAAACATCCTTCAAAAGCATCCAAAGGGCACGCCTTGAGACTAAAGAGTCAGAATCAAAGATCTGATGTGGAAGACTGCACTACTTTTGAACCACGTATACTTTTCGCCCATCTGAGAAAAGTGTCATATATATGAGCACTAAACAGAGCAGCTCATCCAATTGGTGTGGGAAAAAACAATGGAAGTGCCCACAGGTGTAGAGTGGTTAGAGCACATCGGACCATACTCGGCAAGTCAACTATATCCAAAAACTCATGCCGTTTGGAAACCTCAAGTTCAAGAGACCAGAGGGGGTCTCAAAAACCCTCTGACTCCAGAACATGGCACATGTTAAGATTAGAAAATGATATACAATCTGGGAACCTGACACCTGGAATCAAAAAGATGCCTACCATAGTGAAATCGACTCCCTCAACATTGAAACTGACTGGAACCAACCAGGTGCAATGATGTCCTCAGAATAAGATACATTGAGGGAAAGCAGAAGGGAAAGAACCATAACAATCTCAAGTACCTCCACCATGACCCACAACACAGATGGAGTATAATTGAGGGAGGAAGACAGGCATTTGTAATACATGTGTGAAGACTTATGTTGACAATTTCTACTCTAAATCCAAAACCCAGCCACTGGGAACCGAATTCCATGTGGGGGTAGGATGAGCGATCTCAATTGAAGGGGTGAACTGCAATTTGACGTCTCACTCCTTTGGTTCACATATGCTTTATAGTGGAGGATATCACATCATCTACACTAGCAGAGCACCACCACCCTACTCTGCACTAAATGGTATTTCTGTATTAGAGTTTTATGTCATTAAACCATTCAGGAGGATGCCTCCATGGTCCACCACGCCAATGGCTTGGTAAGGACTCCCAAACTCCACTAGGAAAAAGGGGGATGTGGAGAGTCCGGAGGAACATCAACACCCGAGACATTGCAATGTGTAATCATGAAACCAATTTTTAAAAGCAGACCATACCATTTTATTCAATACAAGGCATGGCAGGGATGGGCAGCTATCCACTTCTGCTTTACCCATGTAGTTGGGTGGTACAGTCTGGGATGGGCATATTTATTAAGCAATTTCATTGCAAGAATAACCTTCAAGTGATCTTGTAAAACACACCATCTCAACAATGTGCATTGCGTGGCCATGGAACATATTAAGCCTGTCGACATGGCTGAACAGTGTGAATTTTAAAGGTTAAATAATACCTGGTCAGGCAACACTCCCACAGAGAGGGATCCAAACAATGAGAACTATAATGAAAAGGGAAATAAGACCCCTGAAAAAGTTAAAAAATAATAAATAGATCTGACCCAGTCTTATAGTTGCATGGCAGTCTGAAGAATGGCTACAGGTGGAAGATGACATATCAAAGAGGAATAAATGGCGACCCTATGCAAATAATCAGAGACGAATGTATTAGGTGTAGTCCACATGCCTGACTGAAGAATTTCCTCCAATGGACGACAAAGATGAGATGCCAGAGAAAAGGTAAGGTGTTCAATTTGATGAGAAGACATGTGGAACAAAGTACAGGAGGATGACAAGAGAAAAATAAGCTAATTGAATCCAAAACATTTCAGCATTGCAGTCTGTGATTTGTATTTATCAATATCTTTCACTAAAATTATCACAAGTCAGTACATAAATCTTCAAAAACCTGTATTTTTGCTTCACTGAAGTCTTTGGCTAAATTATTCCAGATATTACTCTGTATGCAAGCCTCTTGAAGTTTAATTCTCTCATTAAAATTACTGTGCAATTTCAGTTTATATGGTTGTAAGCAATAACAACGTACAAGGATGTAATTCTAATAAATATATTGCATTATAGGTCTAATCACTGTGTAACCTTACTATTAACAATGAAGTAGCTTTAAGCATTTTTAACAAAAGAAACAAAGACCCAGTCTGTCAATCTTTCTATCTCAACACACACACACAAGTTAAGATGGTATATAGTGATTATACTTTCATTATAAACCATTAAAAATTTAAAATTAGCTGAAACATCACTGGTTGTTGTATACTACTTAATCTGCATAACTGTTTATACAACAGTACAGAATGAATTAATTCTTCAAATATGTTTCTAATCCTGAAACCTTATGCATAATAAGTAGGATATCAATTAGTCTGAGTACTCAGTTAAATAGTGTTGAAAGTCCAGTGGTTAACCTTATAATAAAACATTCAAAGCAGGGAGTCCAGACTACTATATTGTGAAGGATTTCTCTTTTTTTTCTTTCACAAATGGCATATGTCCAAGTAAAAACACTACACACACCTCATGTTACTCTAAATATACCTACATGCTTCTCTGTGCATAGTGTTTTGAAGGGGGCTATATATAGATTTGAAATATATATATTCATTGTGAAGTAACCACTGTTGTTGGCTGAATATGTGGAAGCCTTCTTCCACAATAAAAACCAAATCATCCCAACTAAATAACATAAAAAAATTTATGAAGAGGGTAAGAAAATAGCAAAGAAAGAAACAACAGATGTTAAAATAATGACTGTTTTTTTCATTAATAAAAATTTTTATAAACTGCTGGTTAACTAAAGCATTGAGTCAGCAAAGTCTAAAATTTTTCAGCACTTTTTTTTCTAGTGTAAAACAGCCTCTACATGGCATAAAATAATGTGGTACAATATCACATTTAACAATAAAACAATTTCATACTAATGCAACTACATATGACTGTACGTGCAAACTTGGCTTTGCATTTACATATTGTGTGTAGTAAGTCTAGGAATCCAGTGTATGAATGAATACACTATATTCTGCCCCTGGTTTATACTTTGTTGAATTATAATAGCTTATATATCAGTAAATTTTCATAAAATGTGTTAAATCATACTGAGAACTACAATAAAATATTAAATGCAACTATACATATGTACAATTTACTTGACGAGAATAAAACATATAAGTGCTGGTGACTGTGCTAAATTACCTAATGTTATTAACAACTGTTACTCAGAAATGTTGTGAAGTATGAATAATGGCACGAGCCAGTGTAATTCAAGTATCTTGAAAAAGGTGTAAAATATTTAACTGTTTTTAAAATCATGTCAGCATTTTTTTTTTGAGTGAAAAAAATATAACTGCTTAAATAAAACAAATTAATTTAATACTTCTTATTTCATATTGTATGTTTCAGGAAACATAAAACATCTAATTAAAAAAAATTACCTGAAGACACAGTACTAACTGATTTAAATTCTTTATGATTTGAAATTCATATTCCACGTATATGGTACTATACATCACTGGAAATGAATCATCATATATGGCAAATATATTATTTGCATATATATTTATTCACACTTAAGCTATAGTTAATGGCCTAGTAAAATTAATTATAATGAATGTTAATTAAAAATTATTTCATTACAGACATTTTGATTTGCATTTTCATGTAGAACTTTTGTCTGCATTTTCCAAATTTGATCAGAAATTTACTTAATGCTGGAGGTTATTTCACATTCCAAACAGTGAGACAAAATTAGAATTGGGTGGGGGAAAAATTAGTGCTATAAAGTATGACTCAAAAGATTTCACTTTTGAATGTTTATTTAAAGAAAATAAAGATTTTTCATGAGAAATGTTCACGAATAGCCCATGTATTATTATGTAATTCCATAGGATAATGAGAACTACATGTTTGCTGAGTGATTTACAACTTGTGTAGCAGGATTATTAGTTAGACATGGTTCAAAGGGCAATAAGAACTTTCAGAGTTACAATACGTATTTCACGTGTAAAATACAGGAGCCCATTGCAATAGGGTTAGTGTTATCAATTCATTATACACTGTATGTTATTTAAAATTAAGAAGTAAACTTAATTGAATATCTACTTATCTTTTATAACAAAATAAACAATTTTTTAACTCATTGTATCAGTCTACAAAGGAATAAAAAACAGAGGTTCATGTAAAGGCTACATTAAAGAAGTAATGGTTAAACTTCTGAAACTTTTTTAAACCCACAAAGATATTCAAAATCAATTTATTGTAATAAACTGTATGCGAAAAAATATCAGCATTTTCATTTCTTCCAAATTCCTTTTTTTTAACGTCTATTGGAAAGAATTTGTTTTTAAAACAAACTATATATTTAAAACTCTTAGTGCTTTTAAAATTCCTTCTCCTTGTAAAATCACACATGTAAGTAAACATGTGGTATTTCAACAAGTCAATTTCTATAAAATTTTAAAGTTTTGAACAATGTCTGATTGGCATCTTTCAATAACCAAACTAATTATTTACATGCAAGCTAATTTATCACTTTTATGTAAATAAATTTCATAGTTAATCATAGGATTTACATCTCAACACTAAATACATATCAAATTATTTCATTAATTTTTACATACTTTTGTTTAGAATTTGTTACGTAAAGAATATCATATTATGAAAGTTTAATGTAATAGAGAATTTTTAACTACTGTTCATTTCCAAATTATTTCTCCCCATTTTTCCTAATGAAATGATGTCTCATTAGGAGCAACAGACACATCTTGAAGAAAATATTCATTACAATTAAAAGGTTGTTTGGACAATTTCAGCAGCACCATTTAAAATTTGTGCTGGGTTTTTGAAACATTAGCTGAAACTCAAAGTCTTAAATTAATTTCCAGAAAACTTGAGAATTCTTGTTCATCACAACTTTAAACCTATAATTCCATCATTTTTCTCATGTTTAAGAAAGCTTACTTCCTATCACATTTTCTTATGACAAGGGAACACAAATATAAATTTTGACAAGGTAGGAGTTATCTTCAGTTAAAACATTTATTTTTCTAACAGAACAGTTGGCCTTTGGATGTTGTGGAGGCAGTAAATTTAAGTAAGTTTAAGAGAAAGCCTGATAACTATATGAATGATAAGAGCTGGCTTTAGGATTTATATTTATTTCAATTTATTTATATAATAGTTTTAGTTTAATGTCTGGACACCCCCCCCCTCCTCAAATAAAGATATTATACATGAAAGAAAGAATTTATTGCACATTTACATATTCATATTAACACAGACTAAAAAAAGGTTTGATTAATAATCCAAAATGTCTGTCTGTTGGTCTTCATTTTCGTGACACAGGATGATACGTCTCCATGTGCAATGGGTTTGTTTGTTTGTAATTAAGCACAAAGCTCTGCCCACCACAGGTATCCAAACCTAGTTTCTAGCATTTTAAGTCTGAAGACATACCACTGTGCCATTGAGGGGCTCATGTGCAATGTCACATCCTCCTTGGCAAATCTTTCAACAATTTTTTTGTTTCAGTGCATCACTTATTTCATATCGTTCCTTTGCCACAATAATTACTAAAACATGAAAAACTAAACTGTTAACATGAGCTTTAAATAAAGGGAGTGTCCAGACTTTTTCTCCACCCTGTATGTTAAGTTTTACACATACAGTAATCTAACATAACCTTTACACTAATGATCAGCAAAGGTACAATATTTTGCCTGCAATAAGATATATTTACCAAAGTGGCATACAAAGGATAACCATGAAAAATGTAGTAACTTCTACTGTTAAGGCTAATTTTATCATTAACCGATACACACACATGTCAGGTATTCATAACAGTTCTGAAATTTCCTATACATGTATGTTCTGAAAATTGATCCTTTGTTTTTAAATATGTATGATTTTGAAATCACCCAATTAAAAAAATAAAGCTGAAGATGACTACTACCCTGCCAGATCTTATAAATGTGCCCTACCATTCTCACTATTAAATATTTTTTTATGTAAATTAATTTTTTATTAATTTTTCAAACATAAATATTAGATATTTATAAACATTTATTCTCACATATTTAATTATTTTTGTACCTTTAAAATTAATGAGTTAACTCCTAATTTGGCATGATAACTCCAATGTTAAATTATCAACATGAAAGTAACTAAAAATCACACATCCTATCATAGAAAAACTATGTCAACAATAAAATTTGTAATTAACAACAACTTTGTTAACTTCAGGTCTTTTTACTAAAATTAGATTATCAATCAACAACATAAAAAAACAGAAAGATAACTGCTTTGACAAATAAGGCATACAACAAAAGGATAAAAAGAGATGCACTTATTTTACCCTTGAACAAATGCATAAGGGTAATATGGTTGAAATCTTAAAATCTACCTTAGCTTTGATAGCTACTTATTAATTTTTTAATGTTATAACTAGATGCAATGATTTGAAAATGAAAAAAAAATTAAGTTTTAGAAAACCTGGCCTACATTTGATTTTGGAAGAATCATATTCTTGTTAGCTTGCTGATAATATTGTACATGATGATAGTATGGATTCTTTTAATTTGTGGAAAAGGTGTGTAGAGAAAAATTACATTCAAATGTCGTTGTATCATTTTTGAATGTTTGGAGATAAAGGGTGATCTTTGATGAGCATAATGATTTTCAGTTCTATCATCTTGCTCCTCCTTAAATCTGGTCTACAGTTTTGTAACATGTTCTTCATTAATGATTCATTAAAACTAACTTAATCTCATCAGGATGTAAATAATTGATATTACCTCTTAACATTTTTATTTATTTAAAGTGTAGGCTTCTTTACTTTCAAAACTGAGGTAGTAACTTTAAGTTTAATAGACCCCAACAATCCACATTAATTTTAAATTCAGATTTACTTACTTTATGTACACTTTGTGGGTCTTTCAGCCAAGCTCTGTACATTTCTTCTACATAAACTGATGAACTTCCATTTAAAAAAGGTTCTTGTGCTGCTCTTGCAGTAAAAGTTCTTGTTACACGAGACAAATATGCTCCTCCAGTAATATTTACAGTGCCACTGCCACCAAATCTTCCTTTGGCTATCCATATTGATAACGTTTGTGTCCTTTGTACTGGTGGAAGATGTGACACCAAAGGCCACAAATTTGTGATAAACGTTCTAGCTTGTAACATTTTTGTAAGAAATAAAAATTTATTTAGGGCTTAGACTCGGAAAATATTCACACCAGAATCCTGTTGAATCTCGTTTCACTTTTAGCCTTACACGAGCCACTGTACAGGATGTTATTGTTGTGCCTTTAGGCTCGGGTCCAGGTCGTTCGACTTCGCAATAAAATTTAAACTTTAACTTGTTCAAGATATTTCAAATTCTAAATTTCTATACAGAGAAATTTGGAGAAGTGAGAAGGAATAAATTAATCCTATACGATTTCGAGTTATTCACCAATGTATCCAAACGTAGGCCTATATATCAGTATAGTGATAATGTTAACATCTCCCGGAAATTGTAATACGTACAACTCCCTATTATTGGTACTACAAGTAGCAATACTACGCAAACAATATATCCTTTTAACCGCACCACTGACCTCTATGCTGTTTTACCGACTGTAGTCTAAATTCAGCTTCAAATAACAGGAATAACATACGAAGCGATAGGCTAAGTCGCTAAGACAACGTATAAAATATTTGTGAAAACGCGAAATACACAAGAAAACTACAAAAAAAAAGAAAGAAATATTTCCCAAAACGTTTCGTTTTAATATATTTATGTATTTATATTGATACTTATTAACAAAACATACTTCTATTTTGTATATCCTTTCTTCAAATAATTTCTACAAGATACTTTATAACTGTACAGCACAGGTTTACCTAACAGGTACCTTAATAGGTAATCTTATAATTTTAATTACGAATTTACTCGAAAGGTAAACAACGCTGATTAGACCGAGAATATTATAGAAATTCAGAATATTACTAATCAAAATTACTATATATAATATGTTCCAAATTTATTTTATTTCTCACCAGACTACATATCAGGCATATAACTTTTTATTGTAAAACTTAGAATTCCTGTGAGCCATTCATTTTACAACTGATGATTTTTGTTTTTTAGTAATAATTTGCAGCAAGTTATGGAATCGGGTTTGTCTTATAGTAGTTTTGGATGTGATGATAAAATTGAAAATATACAAAAATGCATCATCGAAGTAGGAAAGAACATCAGTGACAGAATATAACATCTGGAAAATAAATTATTAATGCGAAGATTAAACCAACCACATCTCTTTCTGCATCAGCTCAGGAGTTCTAGCCTGGAACACCATCTTCTATAAAATGTGAACTGCGTGAACTATTATCACTTCTGCAATGCCATGTGTTACTGAAGGGCCTTCCTGGACTACACCAGCTATTACACTACCCAGTCCAGTTCCAGAATTCTGTTGGCCAGTTCAACACCAACCAGTAGAGGAACCAATGGAATATAATAAATAGGTACAATGGGGATCAAACCAGACTAAGTTTAAAATCATTTCCAGAGTGAACGGGTGGAATGGTGAACAACTCTGACAACATTGAGTAACCTTCCAACTGAGATCTGTAACAACTATCAAGCCACTTTATCCCATAGACTCAGAGCGTCACACAAGAAAGAAGTATCTAAAGTAACGTTTAATAATAAGGTACTGATGAAAGAAAAGACTTTAGCTGAACTTGCAGAAGACTTGGAGAGGCCTGTCTAATCTTACTTGGACACTCCTCGTGAAGTAATGGATTCATTAGCACGTGATCAATTTATAGACACTACAACAGACGAGGATATGAGGATCAGCTGAAGTAAAGTAGGTGTACAGCCTTAAGAGGAATCATTGCAATTGGGGATGGAAATTAAACCCATTGAGGTTGAAGAGCAAACATAAAGGCACCATTTAGAAATTACGGGGATATTATAACCTACAGTATTGAAACTCCCCCTAACTATAGTCTAGAAAAACTGAAAGAATTAATCAGGAAATGCACCTCAAGATAATAGGTGTTTTAAGTGTAACTTGTAGGGACATATTGCCAGTAACTTCAAGTAAGGGCTTGTATAGAATAAGAGCTCTCAAATGATACCAAAAAAGAGGTAATTGTTATAATTGTGGGAAACCTGGCCATTACTGCTGAAAATTTAAGGAATCGACTGCTGTTATCAAGTTAAGGAGACAGAGCCCAAACAGATCAAAGAAACAGAACATATCTAATGAGGCATAAAAAAACTGGGATTAGTGGATTTACGAGGAAAAGTCCAGCTGGAAATAATTCATTTACCATGTATAAGAAAAGAAGGCTTGTTATTTGAAGAAAATCACCCACAAGTCTGCAGGCTTATTGATGGAAAACATTGCAGTATGCTGATTGACACTGCCTCATAGCTACAGCTATCTCGCTTTGTTAATGAAAGATGTAAAATTACCTCCAGAGATGAAGAAAGAAGAGCGGCTGATGTAAAAAACAGGTGGACATAAAATTCTAGCAAAAGGAAGTTGAAATTTACTCTAAGTATAGGAAGCTTCATTGTGCATCTTGATACGTGAATAATTGACATTAAGTTACAGTGCATTTTGGGAACTAACTTCATGAAGAGACATAGATACCAGGTCAAACTATCTTTAAATAGCTTCATAGTCTATGAATAGGAAATCCCTGTGCACTACATGGTAATTACTATACAAGAGATTGAATATCCAGTATAAACACTAAGAAATGGGATACTCATATCAAGAGTTAGTACAATAATTCTTCATCTACTGACTGGGGCTTAAGGGAACAAAATATTCCAGCATGTTATAAAAAATTGATGATTATAGATGCTCTCCTATATGAGACGCATGAACATGCTGTACATGATTTTACCCAGTGAAAAACAGAAATGCTGTAAATACTGATAAAATTGGATTTATTGAGATGACATGGTATGGTTAAACAGTCATCATTATGAGAGAGAACAAACTCCAAAGCAAAGTAGGTATTTTGGAGGGGAAGTGATCCAAGCCGAAGGTCATTCATCAATATTACCTTTAGAAGTTCGTTGGTGAGAGAACAGCCAACTGGGTAACTCCAGAGAAGAACTTTTCAGCAGAATCTCTACTTGCATAGGTACCTAGAGTTCCTGACGAGACTGTCTACAGAAGATAATCAAGAATGGAGCTAAGTGTGGATTCACCCAACCATCTACTAGAGAATAACTGTCAATGTGACAGGATGGACAGTGATAACAAGGGACAAGACATCTCACTCCTATACCACGAACCTAGGAAAGAAGAACACCACAAAGTTTGGGTGACTGGACAATTTTGTGTTGTATCTTATAATTTTTGTATTTATTCAAGGAACTCCACGATCCAGGAAGAGGGCAGAGTCGTAAGTTATATTTTAAATGTCATAATTAGTTAGCTAGGGGGCATTTAACGCGTAAAAAGTTCGAAGGCTGTGACGTCGGGAATTTTCTAATATATCCAAGTGTTCTTAGGTTAGTTAGAGAATAAATTATTTAAGGAATATTGTACTTTGTTTTCAACATAGAAAGTGAATAAGTCACTGTGTTAACTATTGCAGTTTTACTTTGTATAAGTAAGTTGATTTGTTTTACGTTAGTAAACGTCATTTATAACGTAAGCTTACAACACACTTCCGGTAATATACAAGTGTTCAAGTTTTTAAAAACGCTAAAAGAGGAATAAAATAATTTATTATCGCTGTGTGGATTGGGCATTGAATTATTTTCATTAGATAATTTAAAATAACCTGGCAACAATGAGCTACACTGCAACAATAATAATAACATAAAAAGTAAAAGATGTTGTGTAGTATTTTCTGATAGAAAATTAATTTTTCCGTGTGATATTCTTAGGTAAACACTGATTTCCCCGACGAGTATTAGATATGTAGACCAACTAATAACAGCAGATTCGCTCAGAAAATAAAGAGAGTAATCTGAATCTGATATCTTGACTTAGTTTTCCTAGTGTGTGCAACAAGTTTAACAAAATGAACACATTTTTTATTATGGAAAAGACGAAAATGAAGCACAATATAAGCACTTGTGCACATGAAAGGACAGCTAATCCTACTGGATTATGATTAGCTCTATAGCTTACTTTTTCTTGGAATAGACTTCCGTCAAACTAAATGGCCCAGCGTGGCCAGGT